CTCTCTCTCTCTCTGACAAATAAATAAGATCTTTACAAAAATTCTACGTCAGCCATGTAGCTATGCAGGGAGCCCTCTAAATGAGCTAATACTGTGAAAAGATATATACTCCCCATCACCCACACAACATAATCCTTACTTTTGGAGTTTGCAAGTCCTTAACTTAACCAACCCCTGCCTCCTTCTGCAACTTGCCATTTTGCACTTTGCTTACTTCGCTGCAGCGGCATGAGCCTCCTCATTGTTCCTCACTCACACTAAGCTCGCTGCTGCCTCAGGGACTTTGCACTTTGTATTTTCTCTGCCTGGTACTCTTTCTCCAGATCCCCACATGGCCCCAGATCTTTGCTAGAATGTCATCTCCACAGAGAGATCTTCCCTCACCACCCTGTCTAAAATAGCACCCCCTCAATCATTCACTAGAGTGTAAATCCCATGAAGCTAGGAACTGCGTATTTCTTTCACTTCAGGGCCTGGGGTCAAGGCCTGGGTGCTTGTTAAGTATTGGTTGAATGAATAAATAAATAAATAAATGTAAAAGTTAGAAGGAGAGAACACATCTAATAATGCATTTTTTAAAAAAAGCAATGATGTGGATTGCAAAGAAAAATCTCAGGGAGGCTAAAGCTGAAAATGGATTGAAGCTTTCAAAAACTGCCAAAGACAGATAAGTAAAAAGCCTTTTAGTCAGTGCAAGGAAGAAAAAGAGCAACTTTCTGAAAGAAAATAAATCCTCTTTTGTTGGCATATTCCTGCAAGAGGATTGATTTTCAAGCTCAAAAAGACTGGATTGAAGAGAGGCGAGATGGCAGGAAATCCAGGCGAGTGGTGAGGTTGTTGGATCCCAGGGACTCCAAGGAGTGAATAGTTGCCAGGAAGTCTAGACAGGGGCAGACACAGCATTGTAGAGATCCCAGGTCCCATGATGGCGAGGAAGGAAGGACATTACACCCATCCAAATGTGGGTTGTGGTAGTAGCTTCAGAAATGAAAAAGGAAGGGGTGGATCAGAGTGACTACGGTAGGGTAATCTTGGTGACATTACTAGATGTTCAGGGCAAAGAGGAGAAAAGAAAAGAAAATTACAAGCCTCTAAATGGTAGCAATCAGAAAGCAAAAGGAGAAAGGCAGTGGTTACCGGGAGGCTTAGAAGAGAAGACGGGGGGGGGGCGGTCAGCAGGGAAAAGCTAGAGAAGACAAGTTCTCGCGGTGATGGAGCCTCTGTGAGAGTTTTAGCGGCCCCTGGTGGACATTTGCGTCACTAAATGTGTCCACTATGTCACAGCATGGCCCACTAGAATAGCGTTAACTGCTTCACAGCTGTGATCAATACAAACTGACTCCTTTTGCTACAGCTGAAGATGTGCAATGCTCCAGGGACCTCTAGAATATAGGGTGTTGAGCTGAGCAGGTCTTGAGACATGGAGTGGAGGAGGGAGCCACTTGCTACACGACAATTACCACAATGGCCATGGAGGGCTCAAAAAAAAAGGTAGTACCTGGACTGTGCAGGAACTTGGATTCATGAGGGAGCAAGCAGTTCTAGTCAAAGGGACATTTCAGTGTGTAGTGAGATGACTGTGGAGATGTGCCTGAGTTGTAATTGTTGGTAAAATGCTGCTTTGAGTGTATTACTCCCTTTGAGCGTGCTGCCAAAACTCTCAGTATTTGAAAGTGTGACAAAAACAAGCACTTAAAATCTGATAGAAGGGGCACCTGAGTGGCTCAGTGGGTTAAGCATCTGCCTTTGGCTCAGGTCATGATCCCAGGGTTCTGGGATCGAGCCCCGCATCAAGTCTTGAGTGGGGGCTCCTTTCTCAGTGGGAAGCCTGCTTCTCCCTCTGCCTGCTACTCCCCCTGCTTGTGCGCTCTCTTGCGCTCTCTCTCTCTGACAAATAAATAAAATCTTAAAAAATAAAATAAAATCTGATAGAAGGTGAACAGAACCCAAGAGGCACCCCAAGGCAGTCAATATACATTTCTGCCCTTTAATGCCCTATCAACATCCTAGGTCCAGCATCAATTCCATGTCTGAAAGAGAGGGATTGAGCTACCTCCTTTCTTTAAACAACTTGCTGAGATAGATTTTACTTATATCAAGGCTAAGTATGGCTATTGATTAAAGCAGCTCTTCCCAGCAGTTGGAACACTTTGGAGCAAAGAAAAGACTATTCCACTGCAGAGTTCTTTCAAGGAAGTTCACTATATCCCTGAGTTACTAAGGAGGCCCACAAGGCCCAACAGGAACCGACTTCTCCTTTTCCATCCTTCCCCTAAAGCCCCCATTCTCATCATCTCCCTGGATCTCTCTGCTGCATCCTCATAGGAAGTGACCACAGCTCCCTCTCCATCCCCACCCTTCCACCCCCTACACCTCTGTCCCAGCTCCATATGAAGGCACTTCTGCTTCCTCTTTATCCACTTCCCTGCCACCTCCCTATGACTCTCTCTGGTCCATGGCACATCAGCCAACTTCAGCTGCCTCTCCTTCCCAATATCCAGCTCAACATGGAATGCTGTCTCTTGCTCTCCATCCTACCACACCCCTACACTTCTCTACTCCACCCGCATATGAAATTACCTCTGCTCTTCATTCCCCTCAACTCCACATGAAGGAATCTCTTCCTCCCTTCCCCCCCAATCTCATGAACCAATCTCTGTGCTCTCTATGTCAAATCCCACCCCACTCCCCTACAGCTCCCTGGCCCAGCCCCAGGTGAACCCACTTCAGCTCCCCCCACCTCCCCATCACCCCATCACCCCCCTCCAAGCACCTACAGCGCTGGGCCATCTATATAGAAACTAACCCCTGCTCCCTTTCTCTCCCCTTTCTCTCTCCCCCCACCTAATCACTCTTTCCTGCCCTAGTGGACTGGCCTTGGGCCCTCTACTTCCCAACCCCTTCTCACTCTCCAGGATCTTTCTAATTCTTCCCCAGTTGAACTGACCTCTCCTACCTCCCTCACTCCATCCTACCCTACTCTCCATACATCTCTCTAGTAGACTCCTGTTCCCTCTTTCTCCCTTCCCCTCGTCCTCCATTCCCCTCCAGCTCTATAGATCCTCCCCATGAACTGAGTCGGCAGAGTAGTCTGTCTCTCCCTCCGTATCCACCCTACACCCTCCACATCTTACCTAATTACTCCTACATTTCCCTGGTCTGGCCTCACAGAAACTTCTTCTACTTCTCTGTCCCCACGCCCTGCCATCTCCCTTACACCACTTGGTCCAACCCCACCTAAGCTGACTCTGTCCCCTCCCTCCACATTACCCTCCACCCGCTCTACAACTCTCTACATCATCTGCACCTGCATTGACCTCTCCTACCATTTCTTCCCCATCCCCTCCATTCCCTTCAACTATCTGGTCCAGCCCTTCATAAACTGACCCCAGCCCTCTCTCCATCCACATTCCCCCACCCCTTGCAGCTCCCTTTTCTACCTCCCCATGAAGCAGTCCCAGCTGCTTCGCTGTCCCCATATTCTTGCCCCCCATATGACTCTCTTCCAGTCCCACACCCACTGATCTGTGCTGCTCCCCCTGTCCCCATCCCTTCCACTGAGCAATGGCAAACCTATTTTAAAATGGCTGACAGGCACCAGTATGAGTACGTTATGCTTGTTTTTATCCTTAACGATAACATGTTACTTATCACTCTCCCTTCCCCCAATATTCCTGACTCTATTTCATTTATAAGAACATTAAGAAGGAGGAGATAAGAATGTTTCCAGGGTGACGGTTAACAGTAAAATAGGAAGTAGGGCCCAGGCTTCTCATTCCTTTCCAATATTGTATGTCTTTTATCAGATCATATGCCTCTTATTAGAAAACAGCAGTATGACAAAGGTCAAACCCTCCCGGTAAATGCTATCAACTCAGCTTTGGGGGACAGTAAACATAAAAACTTCACAGACCCACATCTAACAACAAAGCTATGTGACAATCACACCAAGGAAATGAGATTGAGAACAAACACTTCTGAAATGCCTTCTTGGCCCTTTGTGTGACTCTGCCTTGGGTCCTCAGTGACTCTGACTTAAGCACAACTCTTATCCCCACTATGCAGACAAGGAAACCAAGGCACTTGGAGAAGGAACTTGTCCCCAATTACCCAGCCAGAAAGTGGTGGAGCCCATGAGAGAACCCAGGTCTGAGGCTACTCTGCGCTCTCCCCACCACACTCCAGTGTTTCTCAGGGAATGATCCCTCTGCAGGAGGCTTGTCTGGAGGGTTCCCAAGTCCTTCAGGATGCCAGTGTCCAGGGATGAGGCCCAGGGTCATGCCTCTTTACCTGCTTCCCATGTAGGGGTACCACTTGAAATACAGGAAATCCAAGTAAAGGTAAATTTCAGATCAACAATGGATAAATAACAAAAAGTCCAAATGGGATATATTTATACTAAAAAAAATTGTCATTCCCTTAGGTGTTTTCTTTGCTATCTAAATCAGGTAACCCTATCCTGGGATTAGGATGCCCCCAGAAGTTTGAAATCTATTCTCTCCATCTCCAGGTTTTCCATTTCCCCTTGGCCCTTCTTGTTCCCCACCCTCAGCCTGGGGCAGAGACTTTATCTGCCAGGGCTTCTCTTATAGGTCATCCTATGTAGGGCTAAGAGGGGGCTGGACAAGGTCACTCAGCCCAATCTAACACTGAGTTCTGAGACAGTGACCAGAGGTTGGTTAAATTCAACCTACTGTCATAGTAACTTGCCTGCCCCCAATTTGTCCAAGCACAAATTACCAATAGGACTCTCAGCCTTACACTTTGCCCAAACTATTTTTAAGGCAGCATTTAGGTGTAGGTGAAATGGAGATTCTGCTAGTTTTAACCCTGACAGATTCCCAAGGCAAGAAACAATTCAAGTCAATAGTAAAGGATGATTTCATTTTCTGTCCATGGGCTGGGAAGGAGTTGGGGATCTACCAGGCTGCCTTCAACACGTGGTTTAGAAGATGAACTCATAGTCAAGGCCAAAGAACTCATCCCTAGAGAACAAAAGCTTAAAATAAGAAAGGCTTTATTTTTAAGACAAAACAAATAGCACAAACACACATCCAAATGCACGTGAGTAAATTCACTGGGTTTTATAAAAGAGAAAGCGGCACTCAGGTGTCAGTTATAACTAGAAACATCAAGGAGATGCCCCCTGCTTCTGGTGGCTTGGATACAACATGTGCTTGTCTAAGAAGTCGTTCTGGGTGGCATCAGTGTGGAAATGCATGACAAGAGTGAGGTGATACAAGGCAGAAATGCAGGTGGGTGAAAGCTTTAAGACCCTTTTCACCACCGTAATGTGCTTTTGTTTTGCTCTGGGGAATTGAAGCAATCAGCAGGTCACCTTAAAGAGAACTTAAATGTCAAAGAACACTTTCAAATACCTAAAAGAGATTCAAGATTGTTACTAAAGTTATACAGGTAGGTCAGTAGGAGAAAATAGTTTATGTTCTCAAAACCCAGGTTTCACACAATATGAAAAGAAGAGACTGATTTTAGTAAAGGCTGGTCTTTTTCATGATGCGCAGGAACTCTTGCTCATTGACTTCTCCATCTCCATCTCGATCAGCCTCATCGATCATTTCCTGCAGGATAATGAAGGCTCAGCTTAGATTAATTCATAAATAAAACTAAAATATAACTGAGCAATAGGTCTTTATAATGTTGCATGAATAGACAGTTGTGGTCCACCCAATGCAAATATACGCTTTTTATAACAGCTTGGTTCCCAAAAAATTATTTAAAAATCAAGCAATACTTTGTCACACATATCATCTAGAAGGGAACTTGAAGATCATCCTGTCCAGGGGAATTCCTAAAACCTAAAATAGTAAGTAAAATTGTACATGTGTGCATTTTTCTGGGAGCAGGGCACATAGATTTGTCACGCTATCAAAGGAGAAATTAAGTGGTCAACAGAGGGACAAGAGAACACTACTTTTCCTTCAGTGGGGCTCACATCAGAGAAAATGAAACTCCGAGAAGTCACACAGGGGCTCCAAGCAGGAATTGAGCTCCAGTCTGATGCCTTACAAACCTGTAGCTCCTCATCAGTGAGGTTCTCACCCAACTCCTTGGCCACACGCTTTAGATTTTTGAATGATATCTTCCCAGTTTCATCATCATCGAAGAGCTTGAAAGCTTTCAGAATTTCTTCTTTGGTATCTTTCTCAGACTTAACAAGTAAAACAGAAAACACAGGAGCAATTACTTGTGCAGCAACCCCACTAGCACCTAACCCCTTTACATGGTCTTGATGATGGCCTTCATGACATAAGTCCTAGCTCACAGGAGATCAAACATCACCCAGGGTAGAAGAGGACAAACTCAGTGACATTATTATAAACACAGCGGCTAAAAGGGAAATATAAAACATTCTTTCTGTACAAACCAAAGAGAAATAGGAGTAGAAGGTACAGTTAAAGCTAGGGGAAATATACTGCTTAAGCTGGTGGAAGAGGGATCTTCTTGGCGGGGGTAGGGAGATGCAGGGAGGACAGAGAGGGCTATTTAACTTGTTATGGGATCATGGAGAGTTATTGGGATCCCAAGTACTATAAAAGAGGAAGAAAGGAAAATCTCCAAGAACTCAAACTCCAGAAGTTCCTGAAAGGTAGCTAAAGATAGAGAGAATCCCTCTAATAAGAGCAATTTGGGAACCAACCCTCAATGTGGGACGGCTTTACTAGGTAGTTACAGAACATTTAGCTTCCTGATCTCTTAAATTAGTAGACACACACAAAAAATAGGTATGATTAGATGTTTTCAAAGCAACAGAATTATCAGAGTAGGAACAGACCCGTGACCTGAGACATACATGGAGTTACTTTTCCACAGGCCAGTCGAGCATAGCTGAGCCACACAAAAGAGGAGCCAGAAAGCCAATGAAAGAGCAATGGCCCAAGGGGAACATAAACATACATCCTAGGTGGGAAGGCATGCAGAGGAGTGAGGTGGATTGTTCGGGTGACAGAGTCTTTCTTGGCCCTCTGGATCCTGTAAAATGGTGACACCTGTGGGACCAGACAATGGGTGACTTCAACCTTGAAAGTGCTGAAAGGCCAAATTCGGTGCAATGAAAAACACAGCTGTTGAAGTAACCTGCCCTCAGGCTAAAGCCGCCCAGAACAAGAAATGAGAGAGAAAAGAATTTTGACCTTTAAAGTATAGGCATTTCGTCTTGTCAGTCAGTGCAATATTGCTGGTGTTTACAGGTTTTACTGCTTGTGGCTATCACAGTGACGTATCAGTTGGAGAAAAATAATCACAAGAGTGACAGCAGTCGTACTTTCATGAGTTTACAGAGGGGAAACGGACTTTTCCTGTGATTCTGTGGCCTTGGAGAAAGCCAAGTAGAACCTAAGCATCCTAATTGTCAGTCATAAATACCATCCTTTTTCAGCTGAACCCTCCAGTTTGTATTAACTTTTCTTCAGTGAAGACATTTTTATATCTAGATTCAAATTTCTTCACTATTATGCGTGGAAAATATGCTGGTTATCCTAGCTAACTTACCATTTTCTGAGTCATCACAGTCAAAAAGTCACTAAAGTTCATTTTTCCTGTCCCTTCCTTATCGATTTCACTTATCATTTTCTTGATCTCTTCTTTCTTGGGTTCAAAGCCCAGTGCCCTCATTGCCACCTACAATGAAAACAGGATTATCTCAATATGCACATCTAAACCTAGCAGGAGCAAAAATGACAGCACTGAGAGCATTAAGCCAGCATCTGACACAATCACGTTAAAATGACTAGGAAACACTATAACATTATGCAGATTGATATCTGTGCTCAATTTTATTTTATAACAGTTGAGGTAAATAAAGACAGGAAAACAGAGCATACTACAAACTCTGCTGTTACTTTTTGCAAGGAGAAGAGGGCCAAAGGGGTAGAGCAGTAACAGGGAAAGAAGACAAAGAAGTAGAGGAAAGGCAAAACAGCACAGTGGGAATGTAAAGGGCTTACCTTAAGTTCCTTAACATCTATGGTCCCAGTTCCATCAGCATCAAAGAGATCAAAAGCTTCCCGGATTTCCTGTTTCTGCTCTTCAGTAAGCTCTGGCTTAGGACTCATCCTTTTTCGCTGGGCAGATGATGCCATGCTTGCCTTCTTAAAGTTAGAGGCCTTTAGATATTTTACAAACACAGAAGCACAATATTATGTAATACAATCCATATTTTACATAAAATAGTTACAAAGTATTTTAAAAATATTTACACCAAGCAATTCCAAAGCTTTGCTTAACAGGAAAGAATATGCTTTACTGGAAAGAACAATGAATCTTTTCCATGCACCTCTATCCCTCCCTCTTCTTTCCTATTGTTTCTAGAAGCAAGGAGACCCCTTGTTCCTTTGGGCATCTCTTATTGAAAATCATCCCCAAAGAGATCTAGCCAAGGAGCTGACTGTGGATAACTGTACAGATAATCAGCTGTCCTTGAATTTGGGGATCCTAAGTCTAGAAATGTCCTTACAACACCTGCTCGCAGTAGTCCGCTTCCCTCTATGTACTCCGACTTTGTGATTACTTCTACATTTGGCTAAATATTACTACGTAGCTAAGGTGTATATTCTGCCAATACCGAATAATAAAACTCAATCCACTCGACACCTCTGTGCCTCCGTCAAGAAGCTCAAAACGTCTCCCGAATGTCCCTGTACTTATTTAGAATGCACGTTAACAAACATAATAAACCTCCCCCCCCCTCCCCGTTTCTGTGGGTAAACTTTGGTAGCGCAAGGCGGCCAGGGTCTGAAGGGTCAGGGCATGCAGGTAACCCGAGTTTTCTCCGACCAAGGGCGGTCACCGAGGGCGCTGGCAGGGGAAGGCCAGGGGAGCCCGAGGGATGGGGTGGGGGGCGCAGACTGGATGACGGGGAGACAGCGGAGAATCACAGGCCCAGCTGGGCGGCCGGCATCTCTACCCTACCCTTCCGGGAAAGAGCTCAGAGGAAGTAGGGTCACTCCAAAGCCGAGAACGGAGCAGGAGAGCTGGCAGGGTCAGATGAGGCCTGGAAAGAGCTTGGCCTCTGGGCGCGGGGCACCAAAGGGCCGCCCCCACTCACCATTGCCGATGGACCCCGCTGCCCGTTGTTACGGCAACCGACGTACCTACTGACTCGGCGCCGTTCCCACCGCCCCGCGCGCGCGGCGCCGCTCCCCATTGGCGGCCCGCTTGCCGCCGCTGCTCCCCATTGGCGTAGGGCTGTGGTGGGTGGGGCTAACCGGACAAAAGCCAGGCCCAGGGCTTGGGGGCTGTGCGCTCACAGCCGAGACCTGGCTTCATTGGGCAGAATCATGTTATGAGCGCCGATTGGCTGAGCTGGCGCCGAGCTGAGCCAATCCTCTTGGCGGAGGCGTCTCGGCAGATCCTCTGCTCATGCGGACGGGGAGAAAAGGGTGGCTCCCGGGGCCGTAGGTCTTTGGGTGCAAGCTGAAGGCGCGCTGAGGCTGACCAGGGGATCACCTACGGACGGGTGAGGATCACGACCTCGCCCTTGGAGGCTGCGTTCTATCGGCTGCTGGGCGGGAGGGTAGGGGGCTGGGTGGGGCCTTCGGTAGGGGCCTTTCTGAATTAGGGCCAGAGGGGCCAGAGAAGACCGTGACCTTTCGTGTCAGAGCGGAGACTGTACTCAAGGGGCGACTGAGACCCAGAGAAGGGAACGGGAATGTCACAGAGGTTTGGACGACTGGTACTTAGAAACCGAATCCAGCTGAGGCTCTTCCTTTGAGGGTGTCCATTCTAGAGCACCGCCCTCTCCCCCGAACAGATTTTAAGAGAGGATCTCTTCTCTTCTGGCTAAAAGCAGCCCAGGAAGGTGAGGTGGAGGCTTGGGAACGGACTTCGAAGGGAGTGAAAGAGATAATGAGCGAGCATGAGGGAGAGAGAGGTCATTAAAATATACTCTTTTTGACACCCAAACACTCAGGCCGAGATACTGTCGTGAGCAAAGTCACACAAGAGTTTTGGGAGTGTGAGGGGTGCTTGGAGACTGTTTTTTTTCTTTTTTTCTTTTTTAAAAATTTATTTGTTTTTTTTTTTCCATCATGATAAGTGCAGTCTTTACTCCCCATCACCTATGTAACTCATCCCCTCGCCTACTTCCCCTCTGGTGACCATCAGTGTGTTCTCTATAGTTAAGAGTCTGTTTCTTGGTATGCCTCTCTTTTTAACACCCTCCCATGCTCATTTATTTTGTTTCTTAAATCCCACATATGAGTGAAATCATATGGTATTTGTGTTTCTCTCATTTATTTTGCTTTGCAAAATATTCTCTGGCTCCATCCATGTCATTGCAAATGGCAAGATTTAATTCTTTTTGGTGGTTGAGTAATATTCCATTGTGTATATACCACACCTTTTTTGTCCATTCATCTGTCGATGGACACTTGGACCGTTTCAGTATCTTGGCTGTTGTAAATAATGCTGCTATAAACATCAGTGTGCATGGATCCCTTTGAATTTTTATTTTTGTTCTTTGGGTAAATACCCAGTAGTGCAATTATTGAATCATAAGATAGTTCTATTTTTAATTTTTTGAGGAACCTCCATACCGTTTTCCAGAGTGGCTGCACCAGTTTGCATTCCCACCAACAGTGCAAGAGGGTTCCCCTTTCTCCACATCCTCAGAACATCTGTCATTTCCTGACTTGTTCATTTTAGCCATTCTGACCGGTGTGAGGTGGTATCTCATTGTAGTTTTGATTTGCACTTCCCTGATGATAAGTGATGATAAGCATCTTTTCATGTGTCTGTTGGCCATCTGGATGTCTTCTTTGCAGAAATGTCTGTTCAGGTCTTTGGCCCACTTTTTAATTAGATTATTTGGTTTTTTGGAGGTTGGGTTGTATCAGTTCTTTATATATTTGGATACGAACCCTTTATCAGATATGTCATTTGCAAATATCTTCTCCCATTCCATAGGTCACCTTTTAGTTTTGTTGATTGTTTCCCAATAGTTTATTTTTGCTTTTATTTCCCTTGCCTCAGGAGACATATCCAGAAAAATGTTGCTATAGGCGATGTCAGAAAGATTACTGCCTGTGCTCTCTTCAAGGATTTTTAGGGTTTCAGGTCTCACATTTACGTCTTTAATCCAAAGTTTGAGTTTATTTTTGTGTGTGGTGTAAGGAAATGGTCCAGTTTCATTCTTCTGCATGTGGCTGTTCAGGTTTCCCAACACCATTTGTTGAAGAGACTGTCTTTTTCCCATTGGATATCCTTTCCTGCTTTGTCGGAGATTAATTGACCACATAGTTGTGGGTTTATTTCTGGGTTTTCTCTTCTGTTTTATGGATCTATGTGGTTTGTTTTAATGCCAGTACCATACTGTTTTAATTACTACCACTTTGTAATATAACTTGAAATCTGGGATTATGATACCTCCAGTTTTGTTTGGTTTTTTTCAAGATTGCTTTGGCTATTTGAGGTCTTTCATGGTTCCGTACAAATTTTAGAATTGTTTGTTCTACTTCTGTGAAAAATGCTGTTGGTACTTTGATAGGGATGGCATTAAATGTGTAGATTGCTTTTGGGTAGTATGGACATTTTAACAATATTTGTTCTTCCCACCCATCAGAATGGAATGTCTTTCCATTCTTTGCATCATCTTGGATTTCTTTCCTCACTTTTTATAGTTCTCAGAGTACAGGTCTTTCACCTTTTTGGTTAGGTATATTCCTAGATATTTTGTTGTTTTGGTGCAATTGTAAATGGGAGTGTTTTATTAATTTCACTTTCTGCTGCTTCATTATTGGTGTATAAGACTGCAAGAGATTTCTATACATTGATATTATATCCTGCAACTTCACTGAATTCATATCAGTTCTCATAGTTTTTTGGTGGACTCTTTAGGATTTTCTATTTATAGTATCATGTCAAATGCAAATAACACGAGTTTCACTTCTTCCTTCCAGTTTGGATGCCTTTTATTTCTTTATGTTGTCTGATTGCTGTGGCTAGGGCTTACAGTAGTATGTTTGAATAAAGTGGTGAGAGTGGACATCCTTGTCGTCTTCTTCTTGACCTTAGGAGAAAAGCTTCAGTTTTTCCCCATTGAGTATGATGTTAGCTGTGGGTTTTCCATGTAAGGCCCTTATTATATTGAGGCATGTTTCCTCTAGACCTACTTTGTTGAGAGTTTTTATCATGAATGGGGGTTGTACTTTGTCAAATGCTTTTTCTGCATCTATTGAAATAATCATATGGCTTTTATCCTTTCTTTTATTCATGTGATATATCATGTTGATTGATTTGCAAATATGGAACCACCCTTGCATCCCAGGAATAAATCCTACTTGATAGTGGTGTATGATTTTTTTTTAATGTATTGTTCAATTAGGTTTGCTAAGGTTTTGTGTAGGATTTTTTGCATCTATATTCGTGAGAGAGATTGGTCTGTGGTTCTCTTTTTCTGTGGTGTCTTTATCTGGTTTTGGGATCAGGGTGACACTGACCTCATAGAATGAATTTGGGAGTATTCCTTGCTCTTGTATTTTTTGGAATAACTTGAGAAGAATAGGTAGAATTTACCTGTGGAGCTGTCTCGTCCCGGACTTCTGCTTGTTCGGAGTTTTTTGATTGCTGATTCAATTTCGTTGCTGGTAATTGGTCTGTTCCAATTTTCTAATTCTTCCTGTTTAGTTTTGGTAGGTTATATGTTTCTAGGAATTTACCCATTTCTTCTGAGTTGTTCAATTTTTTGGCATATATTTTTTCATAATCTTCTGTTACGATTGTTTGTATTTCTCTGGTGTTGGTTGTTATTTCTCCTCTTTCATTAGTTATTTTGCTTATTTGGGTCCTCTCTTTTTTTAACGAGTCTTGCCAAAAGTTTATCGATTTTGTTGATCTTTTCAAAGAACCAGCTCCTGGTTTCATGCATGCTTGGAGAATTACAAGGGGGGGTGTGCAAAGGTATGGGCTAAAGCACTGGAACTAGAGATCCAGGATCTGCCCTCTGCAACTAGCCCAGTGTAAAAGGGTTCTCGGCCCTTACCTGCTTCCCCTCTGGGCACTGGGGCAGTATTTAGGGAGGCAGGGGACAGAGCATAAGTTTCTCAGGCTGAGAAAGGCATGAAATATATTAACATCCATTAAGTGAAAGTGTTTGCTGACCTTTTGCCCTTTTCTCGTGTGACTGTTGAGTAAAGTCCAGACTCAACCTGGCATCTGAGCCTCCTGCCCAGTTTTGCCTCTGCTAGTCCTTATACATCATGTCTCTCCACACCCTATTTCCCAGCCAGCGTGCAGGGTGGCAGCCCGGCAGAGTAGGAAGAACAACCTCGCCTGCCTTGGCTGCGTAACATCTGCCTGACTTGTGGCAAGTCAGTTGACCTCTCTGAGCCTGGGTTTCTCCTTTGTTGAACGGGACCTAACTGAGCGCTTTGGGGATCTTCATGGTATAATATATTTAGATGTAAAAGGACTTGACATTTAGCATCTTTTCAGGCAGTATTATTTCTTTTCTTCGATTTGCTCTTTCCCCTCCCCAGCATGCCCAAAGCCTTAGACTTGGGTAAAATCCCTTCTCCACACTGCAGCCAGAGTGTTGCTTCCAATCTTAACACTCACCCTGCTTACAACTTCCTGGGGCTCCCCCATCTCCTCTTAGTATAACCCCTTAACCTGGCACGCAGCCCCTTCCTATTCTCAACTTTGCTCCTAGTCTTGCTTCACACTCGCTGCGACACAACTTGTCACAGTTGCCAGAACATGCTGGCTTTGTGTCATCACCTTGTCCTTCCCATCGCTGGCCATGGAATGTCTTTCAGGACACCCAACCCCCGTGCTAGACTCACTCCTCTGTGGCCTTGAGAACTTGGCTCAGGGATCACCTCGGGCCAGCCTCCCTGCTCCGGGTTTACCTTCCTCAGAGCCCAGAAGCACTTCCACAGTTCCCTGCTACGTCTGTCTCCCATACTACATGGTGGGCTCCCTGGAGGCTGGTGCTGTGTCCTGTGCAGGTTCTGCTTGGCAGTGGCCAGCATTCGGTGAGTGAGCCGATACCCGGGTGCTCTTTTACAAGTTGCAGGTCCCCTTTACCCTTGGGACTTGTTTGAGGAACTCACCAAGAAGAGGGAAGATACTGCAGGTGGAGGGAACAACATAAGCTAAAACTTGCAGGCATGCTGATGGTTTTCTCAGGGGCCACAACAAAATCAAAGCCAGGACCTTTCTGTGTCCTAGAGATAGACAAGCAGAGAGACGAATGAGTGACAGAAACAAGATACCTTAGATCTATGAAAGGACAAGATTGAGCTGATTGAATCCTTTAGAGAAGTGCATTTTGCCTTGATTCCTGTTTGCAGTTTTCTTGTGCACACAGGCATTGTCTGTCCACAGACTAGAGTGATGAACTTGGATGGAGCCAGAGAATATTAGTTTCTAGCACTGACTCCATGGAAGACAGCAGGCAGGGCCCCGACCACCCCCACACACCCTAACACACCCCTCTGAATTGCTCTGCATTTCATCTTTACAAAGAAGCCAATCTCCCATGTTTTCAAAGGAGAAAACACTTGTCTTTCTGTCTGGTTTGAAGTGGACAGACTGTCCTTTCCTTTTGCCTCCAGGACTTAGTTGTTGGGGACTTGCCCCAGCAGGAAGGAGGAGATTGGGCTCACTTGGTCTCTTCCTAGGTTTTGTTGTTGTTGTTGTTGTTGTTGTTTTAGTTTAAGGCTTTGTCCCAGTGTGTATGGAGGGCATACATACTGGTTTTTAATGGATTCAAAGACATAATTTTGTGAAGGAGAAAGACATGAGGCTTCTGATATGTGAACCTTAACAACCCCAGCCCCATGAGTGTTGCTCTTTGGGGTCTTATTTTTCCCATTCAGAGCTATTCTGAGCCCATTTTCAAGAGGATAGTGGGTGGCAACGGTCATCACCATCCATCTCCAGAACTTTTCATCTTGTAGAACTGAAACTATAGCTACCAAATACTCACTCCCCAATTCCCCCCTCCTCCCAGCCCCTGGCACCTACCATTCTACTTTCTATGTGTATGAATTTGACTACTATAATTACCTCATATAAGTAGAATCATATAGCATGTGTCCTTTGTGACTGGCTGATTTCATTTAGCATACTGTCTTCAAGGTTCATCCATGTCATAGCATGTCAGAATTTCCTGCCTTTTTTTTCATTTTTATTTTGCTGTGGTAAGAGCGCTGCCCGTGAGATCTACCCTCTTAGCAAACATTTAAGTGTACAATACATTATTGTTGACTATAGGTACAGTGTTGTGTAGGGGATCTCTAGAGCTTGCTCATCTTGCTAAACTAAAACTTCATGCCCATGGATGAGTAACTCCCCACTGCCCCCCTTCCCCAACCCTTGGCAACCACCGTTCTCCTCTTTGAATCTTTGAATTTGACCATTTTAGGTACCTCATATAAGTAGAATATGCAGTATTTGTCTTTCTGTGCCTGGCTTATTTCACTTAGCATAATGTCTTCAAAGTTCATCCATGTTGTTGCATATAATAGAATTTCCTTCCTTTTTAAGTCTGAATAATATTGCATTGTATGGTTAGACTACATTTCCTTTATCCATTCATCTGTCAATGAGTATTTAGGTTGTTTCCATCTTGGCCGTTGTGAATAGTACTATAATGAGCATCGGAGAGCTAATATTTATCTCTTCGAGATCCTGGTTTCAATTCTTTTGGATATATACCCAGGAGTAGGATTGCTGTATTATATGGTAGTTCTATTTTTAATTTTTTGAGGATCTTTTATACCATTTTCCATAGGAGCTGTACCATTTTGCATTCCATCTAACGGTGTGCAAGGCTTCCAATTTCTCCACATCCTCACCCACACTTATCTTCTGGCTTTTTGATAACAGCCATCCTGACAGGAGTGAAGTGCTATCTCATTGTGGTTTTGATTTGCATTTCCCTAATGATTAGTGACATTGAGCATTTTTTCATGTGCCTGTTGGCCATTTGTATGTCTTCTTTGGAGAAATGTCTATTCAAGTCCTTAGCCCATTATTTAAAAACCCTTATTAGATACATGGTTTGCAAATGTTTTCTCCCATTCCATAGTTGCCAGAATTTCCTTCCTTTTTAAGGCAGAATAATACTGCATTTTGTTTATCTATTCATCCATTGATGGACACTTGGGTTACTTCTACCTTTTGGCTATTGTGAATAGTGGTGCCAGTGAACAGGGGTGTACAAATATCTGTTCAAATTCCTGCTTTCAGTTTTTTGGGCTATATACTCAGACATGGAATTCCTTGATCCTATGGTGATTCTATGTTTCATTTTTTGAGGAACTACATGCTGTCTCTCACAGTCCAGCAGCAGTGCCCAAGACTTCCAGTTTCTCCACAGCTTCGTCAACACTTGTCATTTTCTGTTTTCTGGATTCTTTTTCGATAATAGCCATCCTAATGGGTATGAGGTGGTATCTCATTGTGGTCTCGATTTGCATTTCCCTAATCATTAGTGGTATAGAGCATCTTTTCATCTGCTCATTGGCCATCCGTAAAGTGTATCTTTTTTGAAGAAGTGTCTATTCAATCAGAGCTATTCTTGGTGTTCATTTTAATCTGAGTGTATATCATATGGGGAATTTAGGTTGGGGAGGGTTACCAGTGGAATCTGACTCACTTCCTGAGCTAGTCTTGGGTACCCTAGTCCCTAGAGACAACTAAAGTATCACCAACATTCTGAACTGGCTCATAGTATTTACAGACTTTAAAATAATTTGTATATAATTTGAGACAAAGTAGATTTGATTTTGTTTTTGTTTCTACAGGAAGCTGGTTTGCGGAGGATTGAGTGAGCGCTGTTTGAACGGTATGGATCATGGCAGCAAAATGGGTTTCTTCTTTCACCTCCCAGATCTTCCGCTAGAGATCAAGTGGGGAACAGGCTTAAAGGCTTCTTGCTTTTCTAATAGTACAGGGGGCTTTGGAATTGGCAGCTGTGCTATTTGGCTTTCAGAACTGCAAAGAATACTTGTTTTGATTCCCTATGGCTGCTATAACAACCAACCACAAACTTGGCTTAAAACAGCAGAAATTTCTTCTCTCCCGGTTCTGGAGGCCGGACGTCTGAAATGAAGGTGTCTGTAGAGCCATGCGCCCTCCGAAGGCACTAAGGGAGGAAACTTCCTTGCCTCTTCCAGCTTCTGATGGCTCCAGGTGTTCATTGGCTCATGGCCACATCACTCCAAATACCATCTGCCCTCTCAAGTATCTGGGAAATAGAGTAAGAAGCCAGCAGTGGGTATTTGTGAGTGTAGCCCTCAGTGAAGCTCCTGCATTTTAGATGGGGGTCTGTGTGGTAGAGAGCAGAAGGTGGTCTGCATGGGCTGGTACGAAGTGGGCACTCACATATCCGCTGGACTCATGAGTACCAGGCCCTGCACTTCACGCCAGAATACAGTGGTGAGCAAGACAGACAGAATTCTGGGAGCTGTTTGCTCGGCCTTGGTGCAAGTACCCCAAAGTGCCCAAATCCTCGTTCCCCATCTGATACACATTGAACCGAATGAATTAAAGCTCACCAGTCACATCTGTTTAGAGTGAACAGGTGACAGAGCCCCTTACGAATATAAAGAGGATTATGAGATAGAGGGAGGGATGGGATAGGCATAGAAGTACAGATCACCTTTGCTTATTCATAATACGCATCTGAAAAGGTCATAAGTGAAGTTTTGAAATACATTTTCCTGATAACTTCCATTATGATTTCAGAGATATGTTACCCTAAAATGTCCCCCATGGGACATAGAGGTTCGTAATATCAGTTACAAGGCCATTTCATCCACCCACAGAATAATTCCCTACAAGGACGTGTGTGTCTGTGTGTGTGTGTGTATGCGCACGCGCATAAGTAGCGGCGTGCAATTGGTCTTTGCGTGGCAGCCATCTTCTCACCAATGAGTGTTCTCTGAATCTAGCTTTTTGCAAGCAGTTAGACTGTTTTCCTTGTCACAGATGTCACCGTCTCCAGATGTTAGGAGATGCCTGACTTAAGTACATTGACCACTAGGAAGAAAACAGATATAAGACCAAATACATCTAACCCAAAACTGAACGCTGCTTTTTGTTTGCAAGTCAGTATTATGGGTGAATGAAGAGAGGAGCATATCCTAAGAGCTGTCACAAAAGCTTCTCTTATAAACTACTCTTCTGTTTGGCGTTGTCTCCCAGTTGTGTAGTGCTCAGTCCCCACCATACTGGGACCATTTCCCGAGGGCTTCTGATGGCCCCAGACACTGAGTTCTTCTGCATATAGTTAGGGTGGCTTTAATTGCAACAAGAAGAAGAGCTCTGTCTCCTATTACACTCTTTGCTGCCAGCAGCCCCTGCCCTAGCGTCATGGAGACGAGCACTTAGTCCATTTAAGGGAAACTCAGCTGCAGCAAAGAGACAGGACTTGAGCATATTTACCTAGTTTGTAGTAGGGCTGGCACCAGAACCCGGGACTCCCGAGGTCTGTGCAATGATCAACACAGAGAAACAGGACAATTGGAGCATGTGAGCGCCATGGAAAAAGCTACAGTGCCACAGATGGTCCTTTTGTTGTAAATGGACAATGAGGTCATTTAACTCGCTTTCCACTCTGCCTCTAATCCAAGTGTATGGTGAGTTAATGGGCCCAGTTATACCCTTGTGTCAGAGAGAAGCCTGTCACAGGGGTGTTCAGCAGAGGGCTTTATTTAACAGCTACAGCTATAGTTCAGCTCTTTGTGAAAACTCGACGGGAATGGCATCCACACAAAAACACGAACACCTAAAAGATGTTTCAGTTTATGTAACATAAATGTCGTTCTCTAAATATGTCTTTATGAAGAGAAAACTTCATCACAAGCATAACCGTATTTGGAGCTGAAATGGAACAAGCATTTGATGAGCCAGTGAGAGATCAGGTCACACGGACACATTTGACAGAAGACATTCCAAATGTAAGTACTGACACAAAAAAAGGTTAACCAAAACCAGATAAGGGGAAAGTCAAGCACACATACACCAGCAAACCATTGATACTAGCTGTGGGTCAAAAATTGTATTCAGTACATTTATTAAATCAATCAAAGTTGACTTTTTATATAAGATACATATATTTATTTAAGGTATCAGTTACTTCTTGCTGTGTAACAATGTCAGAACATAGTGGTTTAAAACAACATCCATTTCTTTGCTCATGATTCTGTGATTCAGGCTCTGCCCGGCTTGGGGGTCCTTGGCTGATCTCGTCTGGCCTCACCTGCAGTCATGGGGATCCCCTGAGGTGTTTGTTCTACACAGCCTCACTCACATGCGGTAACTGCTGGCTATCAGCCCGGTGCCTTGGTTTGCCTTCATGTGGCCTCCAGCAGGCTAGACTAGGCTTGGCAGAAGGCTTCCCCAGTAATCATAATGGCAATAGCAAGGACTCCTAAGATCTAGTGTTGCAAGTATCAGAAAGGACTCTAAGGAATTGTCAGGCTCCCTGGAGGTTGTTTGTGTAGATCTGCAGATGTTGGGTTTGATTCTTTGATTCACTTTTAATGAATGCTAACACTTCAGAAATGAAATCACACCAAGGTAAAATGTGTTTATATCAAATGTTAATAAATGATAGATGCCCAGAAGATTCCCTGGACCACCAGATCCTCCTGGTTTTCGTGTGTAGCTCAGAATAAAGCCTCTAATGTGCCTCTGTAGTTGAAGGTTAATGTGAGAGTCTAGTTGCCAAAAAAATGTACATTTCAATGGTTGTATCAGTGGTGTTCTCATGGGTTGACTTTATAAGAAGTATAAGTTATACATTTAAACTACTGAAATAAAAAGAACACTTTCATCTTACTTTATAATATGTTCTGTGTAAGAGTTCTCTGAAAAGAGGCCCACTGCTAGAGACAAAGGAAAACAGAACAGGTTAAAAGACACCCAGGGCCCTAGACTATTCTCTTAGCTCAAGATCATAGTGCAATTGAAATCATTTGGATGGCTTTCTTTTCTATTCTTAAAACTCTCTCCAAGATGTTGATTTTGTAACTCCCCCCGGTAACCCATTCTTGAATCTCACTACCTGTTTTCAATTTGGAGTTTTATTCTTACTTGTTAGTACATATTCCTTCTTGTCCGCTGTGCCCACTTCCTCTGCATCATCTTTCATGGCCATAAAAAGCAAGTCGTTATTTCACATGATCTCTAACCATGTAGTATTATAGGTGTGATTAAAGTCATTGTCCCATCACATACCTGACTTCTCTGGGGTAAATGCCAGTTCTCATAAATCTCTGAGGGGTAGCCATTGGCTCGCTTGTTCCAAGCAATATTGGTGCCGCATTTCAATATAACAAAAAGATCCACACCACTCTGTCAAAGGGAAGAATTAAGGATTGCCCCCATTTCGGGCGCCTGGGTGGCTCAGTCGGTTAAGCGTCCAACTCTTGATTTCAGCTCAGGTCATGATCTCAGGGTCCTGGGATCGAGCCCTGAGTCGGGCTCTGCTCTCAGTGGGGAGTCTGCTTGGGGATTCTCTCTCCCTCTGTCCCCCCCATTTGCACGCACGCGCTCTCTCCCTCTCTCTCAAATAAATAAATAAATAAATCTTTTTTTAAAAAGGATTGCTCACATTTAAAATCATGAAATGAAATTACACTGGACATAACAGAAAGGTTATTTGATTTTAAAAAAAAATTAGACTATCAAACTTTGAAACAACTGTAACTAGAGATGCCAGATAATATAACCAAGAGAATCTGAAACCCTTTGGGATACCATCAGAACATGTCTAGTCTGAACCTCTTTGGATTCAGGCAAACTTTTAGCAACCAATGAAAAATCAGTTTGGGGAGCAGGGAGGCTTGGAGTTATTCTAAAAAACTGCATTTTCCTGTACAGCTGACTTGAGGAAAGGAGAAGGGCTAGCCCAAATGAGGATCAAATGGAATTTGCGTAATTTAATTTGCCTGTGTCCTGGGCATGTCTTAGAAGTTTCAGTGAAAGTGCAAATTGTTTAGCATGGTATGATTACACGTATATGAGAGTAATCAAAACAAAACCTAGACAGAAATGGATTGAAGAGATCATTTGGTTGGGGTGGGTGGTGTGGAATGGCGAGGCTGATTATGTCAGTAGATTATGCACATGCCTGAACAAATGCCAGAGCTCCAGAGCCATCTCCAGGTGGCCCAGCAGACTCCAGTAAAAATGCCAGTCTAGACGGGACACCAGGTTGAAGGGGTGAATCTGTAGAAGGGGCCTGGGAACCTGTGGAGTCTCCTGCATATCTCAATTGTATAGGTATTTAAGGATTAAATAGGGAGGGGGGTTAGTTGTTTGTTTTCGAATCAGGAGCAGAATTTCTTTAACATCTTTAGTTTCCATACTCCCAACTTCGATTGACTGTACATGAGCTTAGGGAGAATGGGGGTTTGTCATCTTCAGGAAGCCCAGATACGGTTTTAGAAAGACCCCAGGGGGGAGGGATATCACAGGCCCTCCTTTGGAGACACTCGGAGCCAGCTTAATCAGGATGCAACAGACACAGTTTTGCATTGCCTCCCCGGTATCAGAATATTGAAGTGCCCGCATCTGGTGCTCTGTCTTTCCATTACCCCCAGTTACCAGAATTGGAATTTAGCCAAGAAAGTGCGCATGTTGTAAAAGCTGAAATGTAAACACCGTGGCTCTTCCCTGATACCTCAACTTGCTCAGAGCTCAGAGAAGGAAAAGCAAAGCCCTAGGCCTGGCTGATTAGCAGTTTACTGATCCTCCCTGCAACCCCTCAGGAGATCCCATCAGACAGCAGCAGTCTTGGATACACTAAGGCAGGAAGGGGGTAGGTGACAAGCCTAAAGTCACAGAGCCCAGCCCTGTAATGGTTGGGGAGGAAAAGGAGCTGACTTTCTCCTGCGAGTATAGAGACTTTGCTTTCTTCTCTCTGATAGTTTAAGTGGACATTGTCCATTCAGTGGGTGGCATGTTGTGTTGTGTTTTGTTTTGTTTCTGTTTGTTTTGCCTTAGAAGTGCCAAGGGATCAGTTATTAGAAGCAAGAAGGTATCATTTTGGGGTTTTTTGTATTGTTCAGTTTTGATCATTGGTATAAGATCATCCAATCCAGCCAAAATCTATCTCAGACTCATTTGCTGTCTCTCTTTCCTCCTTAACTGATCCAGGAGACAAGGGTGCCACTGGCTCATGAACATGTGAGTCCAGGCTCTTTATAGCTTCCAGTTCTCACGTCCCACCTACCACCCTTTTTTTCTTCAGGCCAATAAGTGCACAGTGATCGGAGGTTCTGGATTCCTGGGACAGCACATGGTGGAGCAGTTGCTGGCAAGAGGCTACACTGTCAATGTATTTGATATGCGGCAAGGGTTTGACAATCCCCAGGTGCAGTTCTTTCTGGGAGACCTCTGCAGCCAACAGGTAACGGACCACCCAGCCTTGCCAGTTTTCCACAGGCCCCCCAAAAGGAAACTACCAGGCTTCCCCCACTCAGAGGTCAACCATATTGTTTCAAAAAAAAATGTTTTTGAAAAATTTTAAAGTTACAGGAAAGAACTTAACCCACATTTGGTCAGTACAACTCCACTCTGCCATGGTAGTGTGAAAGCAGCCGTGGTCCACACGTAAATGAATGGGTGTGGCCGTGTGCCAATAAAACTTTATTTACAAACAAAGTTGTCCACGGGCTACAGTGTGCCTCTTACTGTTCCAGAGTAGTCAGTTGACCTTGGAATGACATGGGTCAGGGGCATGGACCCCCCATACAGCTGAAAATCTGTGTACAACTTTTGACTCCCCAAAAAGTCCCCAATAGCCTCCTGTTGACCAGAAACCTTACTGATAACATAAACAGTCAATTAACACACGTTTTGTATGTTGTATGTATTATATGCTATATTCTTACAATAAAGTAAACTACAGAAAAGAAAATGTTATTAAGAAAACCATAAGGAATGGAATTTAAACAAAAACTTGAAAAAGAAAACCGTAAGGAAGAGAAAATACATTCATGGTACTGTACTGTATTTATGTAAAAACCACATATAAGTGGACCCGTGCAGTTTAAACCCATGTTGCTCAAGGGTCACCTGTATACCTAAAAGTGCAATTGCTGGGTTTCAGGGGTTTTTTTCCTTGAGATATGCTTCACATTCTGTAAATTTAACATTTTTAAAATATATATACAATTCAGTGGTTGTTAGTATATTCACAAAGTTGTGTGACCATCACCTCTGTCTCATTCCAGAACATTTTTGTCATCCCAGAAGAAAACCCTAGGCTCATTAGCAGTTGTTCCCCTTTTCCTCTACTACCCTCCCAGCCATTGGCAACCACTCATCTCCTGTCTCTCTGGATGTGCCTATCTAAGTGGAATCATGCTGTGACTGGCTTCTTTCACTGAGCTGACGTCATGTTTGCAAGCTTTACCTGTGTCATAAGGGTATTAACATTTTGAATTTTATTAGATGTTGCCAGATTGCTCAACAAAGCTGCTCTGTCAGTTTTCCAATCACACCGACGGCGTGGTTAGGATCGCCGCTGTTGTATGTCTTTGTTAGACTTTTTGGTTATCGCCATTCGGAAGGTTGTGGAATGGTACCTTGGTGAGGCTTACAGTCATGTGCCCTCCGTCTTCAGGATGCCAGGCTCTGTGCTCTCTGTTGATCCTCTGTGAAGTTGCCGGGTGGTGACCTTTGTCCATTGTGTTTGGCTTACCTTGGTTTTCTTATGGCTCTGTGATTCCTTTCTGTCTGGAATGCTGTGTCACAGATAGCTTCCCTCAGCCCGTCAGTGGGTTCTTATTCTCAGCTTTGGCATCATTTGCTATAGTTTTGTTCCTTTGAATTTTAAGGACACGGCTTCCCACACTGCCCACGCAGGCTGTTTTCTCTCCCACACTGCCCACGCCTCTGAGCCTGGAGATGGGGTAGAAGTCTTCCTTGTTCGTCATTGCCACTTCCTCCCTGCCTGAAGATCCCTCTGGCTGTGCAGGTGATGCTGGCGGACTGTGTATACCCCAGTGCCCTTCCTTGTGACAGTCCTCCACAGGCACCTGCTCCCTTTCCTACCTTTCCCAGGTGGCTCCATCTCATTTCTTAGTGATTTTAGTTCCTGGCCGAGGTCAGCCTTGTCATAATTGCTGATGAGTTCAGTATTCACACACATGACCCTGCCAATACCCTGGCCTCACCTCTCCTTGGCCTCCTCTCGTTCACTCCTCTTGGCCTCCAGGCCTCATGTCACCGGGAAATGTGTCCTCTCCGCGATCTCACTTGCAGGCCCTCCACTCTGAGCGCCACCTCCTATCTTTCTAGTTCGGGCCCACTAATACCTGCACTGTACCAATTCTGAAACCACACCCAGACATCTGGCTCTTTGCCACGGCCCCTCACCCCGTTTGTGTCCTCACTGCCTTTGAGTCCATGACTGACTTGCTCTCTTGCATAACACTTATCCCCCTTGCCTCTTTCTTCTTGTCTCTATCAGTCCAGGTTCTCCAGAGAAACAACCAGTAGGCTGTGTGTGTATGTAGACGGAGAGGAAGAGGGAAAGAGAGAGGGGGATAGAAAGAGATTTAATGAAAGAAACTGGCTCGTGTGAGTGTGGGGCTGGCAAGACTGAAGTTTGCAGGGCAGACCAGCAGGCTGGAGACTCAGGCAAGAGGTGATGCTGCAGTCCTAAGGCAGAATTTCTTCTTACAGAAACCTCATGGTTTCCTCTTAAGGCCTTTTGAGTGATTAGATGAAGCCCACCCAGAGTACGGAGGATAATCTCCTGTCCTTAAAGTCAACTGATTACAGATGCTAACCACAGCTATAAGATACCTTTACAGCAGTACCTAAACCAGTGTTTGATGGAATAATGGGACTGGAGCCTCACCAAGGGACACATAAACTTCTGCATCAGGTTGCACTTCCTAGGTATAACCCCAGCCCTGTTTAAATCTGATTCTTCCTCTTCCCTGGGAGCCTCTGGGCAGCTGAACGGGGCTGGAGAACAAAATACAATGTTTTTGCCTCTTTCTTCACGGCCACGGCCTTCAAGCCGGGCCCGTGCTATCTCCTGGCACCGTATCCTCAGACCTGCCTGAGACCACACCTGCGTTCTGCACGTGCCTCATCCGTGCAAATGCTCCAGGTGCCACCTGGAACCCCCCTCTTCCCACTCAGTGCTTCCAGTAGGGATTCTGGCCTTTTTCTCCTGCATCAGCCATGGATCCTCCTCTACCCGGTCATAGCCAACAGCACACAGACATGTTGCAGGATCACCCATCTTAAGAAAGCAAAATGCCCTGATGGGAGAGGTCCCACTTCTCTGCTGTCACAGGAGAGCTCAAAGAGCCATTGGCTCTTGCCGCCTCTGATTGCTTCATTCCGTTGTCTCTTACAAGCACTCCAGCTAGGTTGTCACCAACAACCCCTGTCACAACCACCAGGGACCTGCAGGCGACCAGATCCAGTGGCCAAGCCTAGGACACCCCACTTGCCCATTTCTCCTCCTGCCATTCTGTCTCCTTATCTCTATAATTTCTAAATGTGGCAGGCTCCAGAGCTTATCGCTTGGATCTCTTTTCTTCTCTGAGCACACTCAATGTCCAATCAAATCCCCCCCTTCCCCTGGCTCACAGACGAAATAGTCTAGGGGCTGACAAGCTCCCAGCTCGAGATCTCCAGCCTGTAGTTCTGCTAGACTCATATCTGTCCAGCTGCCTGCTGGACATCTCTGTTTGGGTACATAATAGACATTTTGGACTTGCCATATTCAAAATTCAGCTCCTAAAAAAAAAAAAAAAAAAATTCAGCTCCTAGTTCCCTGCTGCAAGTCCCCTCCCCCACTACAGCAAACCTACTAAAGTCCTGTCCATCTCAATAAATGGCCCACTCTGTCCTTCCAATTGCTTTGGCCAAAAACATTAGATTCACCCTTGATTCTTTCTCTTGTACCCTCCATCCCATTCATCAGCAGATTTTGTTGACTGCACTCTCAAAATAGATCCCCAATCCAGCAACTTCTCACTCCTTCATTTGTTACTGTGCTGGTCCAAGCCACCACCCTATTAATGCATGAATCAAATCATGATACCCCTCTGTTCAGAAGCCTCCAGTGGTCCAGTTCTGTTTAGAGCAAACATATAGGCCCTTATCATCACTTTGAGGCCCTGCATGACCTGCCCTCACTACCTCTCTGGCCTCACCCTCTTCTGTACTCCCTCATTGCACTGCTCCAGGCACGCTGGCCTCTTTACTACTCCTCAAACTCACCGACTGAGTTTCTGCCTCAGGACCTTTGTACTCACTGCTCTTTCTGCCGGGAATGCTCTTTGTGAACCACAGAGCTTGCTCCCTAAATTTATTTAAGTCTCTGACCAACTTACGCTAAGCAACAAGCCTCCGGATCTCCTTTATTCTACCTTAGGTTTCTGTATAACACTTGGTACTGACTGATGTACTCTGTATCTACTGGTTTCTCTGCCCACCACCCCCATAGAAGGTAAGCTCCATGAAGGCAGGGATATTGTCTCTTTTGATCACTGTTGTGTCCCCTCAAAGGAGATGAGGCTCCTTAGCAAACTTCAGCTTCTCTCCAAACTGCTCCCCCAGCTCTCTATTAACTCCCATGATATTGTTGCTAGTATTTATTTACAGATTTTTTTATTTTTTAAGATTTTATTTATTTATTTATTTGAGAGCAAGCAAGCGAGAGAAAACACGAGCTGGGTGAGCGGGGAGGGAGAAGCAGACTCCCCTCTGAGCAGGGAGCCCGATGCAGGGCTGGATCCTGGGACTCCGGAATCGTGACCTGAGCCAAAGGCAGACGCTTAACCGACTGAGCCAGCCAGGTGCCCCAATTTACAGATATTTTTAAACACAAACTTAAAGCGAGACCCACCACCATGGTGTATTGTTCTCAGACACCGGCAGGGAGGAGAGAGTTGCACTTAACCAGGGCCAGAGTTTGCCACACCAACTTGATAAAGACAGACATGGACAAGGCCAAGATTGCAATGATGGATCATGAAGTCCAGGCTAAGGAGGACATGAAGAGGGCAAAGGACATTTAGAAATGGGTTTGTAAGTCACAACTTAGTTTTTGTGCCATATTCCTGAATTCATTCATCAGTACTTCTTGTTTCCCATTTCTTTCTTCCAGGTTCCTTCCTCTTCTTCCTGAAGCATTTCCTTTAGCATCCCTCACTGAATATCTGGGCACTAAACTTTCTGAGTCCTTGTATGCCTGAGGATGTCTTTATTTCACCGTCTCTCATAAATGCTGATTTGTTGGGAGGGAGGCAGAATTTTCGGTCCATAATTATTCTTCCTGACACTCAGTCTGATCATCATTCCTTTGACGGTCAGCTGGGTTTCCCTCTCATGCCTTTTAGGATTTTCTTTTTTATCCTGTGTGTTTTGTAGAGAATATGTCTAGGTCTGTGTTTTAGTTTTATATTTAAAAGCTACTCAACACCTAGTGGACCTTTAAAATCTGAGGACTCATGCCTTTCCTCATTTCTGGAAAATTCTTTAAATATTGACTCTACCTCCATTCTCTCTTTTCTTTCTTTCTGGAAGCCTTACTGGACATACAGTAGAGTCTTTCATTATAATCTACATGTCTGTTAGTTTCTCCTTCGTGTGTTCTTTCACTTTCTGTCTTTGTAATATTTTATAGATTTCCTCTGTTTTATATCCACTCATGGACAGTCTAGTCTCACCTATATCCCCACCCCACCCTCAGATTATTTTGAAGCCAATCCTAGGCACCATTTTCATTTTCTCTGTAAATATTTCAGTATTTGTCTCTAAAAGATAAGGAGCCTTTTTAAAGATGTATTTATTAATTTGAGAGAGAGAGAGCATGAGCAGGGGGAGAGGCAGAGGGAGAGGGAGAGAATCTCAAGCAGGCTCCACGCTGAGCACGGAGCCCAGGGTAGAGCTTGATCTTATGACCCCGAGATTAGACCTGAGCCAAACCCAAGAGTCTGACACTTAACCGACTGCGCCACCCAGGTGCCCCCCCCACACACACACCTTTTTTGGTAAGACTTAAAGGAGCCGTTTTAAAAACACAATTCCATGACTACACCTAAAACATACTGACAAGTCCTTAATTTCCAGCCTGTGTTCAAATATCCCTGAATGTCTAATAAGTATTTTTATGTAGATTTCTTCCCAAATAAGGAACCAAAAAGGTGAAGACGTTGAAGTTGATTGAACTAGTTAAGTCTCTTCTATAAGTTCCCCTTCACATTTTGTTTGTTGAATAACTGATGTTTATTTTAAACTGTATTGATTGTCCCATAGCATTTCCCATGGACTGGATTTCGCAGATTGCATCCCCATGGTTTTGTTTGCTATGTCCCTCTCTCCTCTATTGTTTCCTGTAAGCTGGAGGACCTAGGACTGCACTGTCCAGTAAAGCAGACTTAGAATAGAAAAAGGGAATATAGATAACTCATTAATGATTTTTCTGTTGATTATATGTCGAAGTGATAATATTTTGGATAATCTTATATTAAAATACATTACAATTATTTTAATCTGTTTTCTTTTTACTTTTTTGATGTGGGTACTACTAAATTTAAAGTCACATCTGTGCCTTGTATTACTATATTTCTAATGGACTAAAAGCTGGATCTGACTCTGGTTCAGTTTTTTTCTCTGGGGCACCAATAGCAATCAGCATATCTAATGCTCATATTTTGATTTCTAGACACCATTGCCCATAAAAGGAACCAGGGCTCCCATTCAGGACTCTGAGCAGGGGTAGTCCAAGTGAGCCTGAGACATTTTCTTAGGACAAAATAAAAAAGTGCTCAGGGGCACCTGGGTGGCTCAGTCCGTTAAGCATCTGACACTCAGCTCAGGTCTTAATCTCAGGGTTGTGATTTCAAGCCCCACATTGGGCTCCATTCTGAGCATGGAGCCTACTTTAAAAAAAAAAAAAAGTGTTCAAAAACTAATGGGAACATGTCAAAAGGACACAGGAACCAACCTTAAGAACCCCTACTGGCCAAATTTGGGATTTTTTAAGCCTCACAAAAGATAATAGTAGTGGATTGTAATGCATTGAATAAAATAAGAATCCATGTAAATTAGCATAAAGGGGGATCGTCTACATTACAGAGGAATGCCAGCTAATAAAAGTGAAAAGAATGCTGGAATTAGGATTTTACCATTTTGCAACCAGTATGTTAATAACGGTTCCAGGTAAGAATCATCACTGAATGTTCCAGATTCAAAGAGACAGAAGAGACTAAATATAATATGATCTATGATTGGATCCTGGATCCAAATATAAAAATGCCTTTAAAGGACATTATTGGGACAATGGAAGAAATTTGTATATAGACAAGTTATTGGATAAGAGTGTCCTATCCTGTTACATTTCTGGTATATGATCACTGTTTAGCAGTATTTAGGAGGATGTCTTTGTTGTTAGAAGATACGTAGTAAAGAGTTTAGAGGCAAAGTGGCACATTGCCTGCAACTTACTCTCCAATGGTTTCAGAAAAAAAAAATCATATGTCTGTGTATCTACACAAAGAATTATGGCAAAATATTAATAATCAGTGAATCTAGGCACATAAGTCATGATTGTCTTTCTTTTGGTAATGCTAATCTATTGATGATCATTCCTAGATCTTATTACTTAATGAACGTTTCGGAAAATGGTGACATGCTATCATTCTCTCTTTGTTTCTTAATTCAGTTCTTTGCTTGGCCATTTCCCTGTACTCATTAGTTTACAGAACGAATTCTTATTCTTCCTGGTGATCAAATTGTCCCTTCTTTGGACAGTGAGAGCCTCTTCACGTTGACTCTTGAGTCCTTTTAACAGGACCCCAGGAGTCTTGGCTAGCTTCCTTACTTTCTGATTTGACAAGGTGTTCCTGGCTCTTCTTGTCTATTTCCTGCTCCAGATCTGCAATCAGCCATTGCTCCTGGGAGTTTTGGTTCCTTTTAGCAGTAAATTAGACAGACGTGTTTTCATTCCCTTTCAGCTTGCTGTTCTAGATCTATTTTCACAGAAAGGAACACTCCTGTGTATTGGCTATTTGCACTGTCTTTCATGGGGCGGAACTTTTTCATATGATTCATAATTTGTATCTGTGAGCTCATTTTCCCAGGAGTTTTACCTGTATTGTCACACACCCCCACCCCCATGGTGCACAGTGGTACAGATATTGCCTTTGTCTGGATCCCACAGGTTTCTCATGCCCTAACCCAGTTTTTACTGGGGACCAGTCAATGCAGAGGGGCAGCTGAAGGGACAACTTGGTTTCTGTCCCAGGTACATCTGTATTGTTTGAATCTTTTACAATGAGATGTATTTTCATGTTAATTACAGAATTATAAAAGGGCAAGACACCTACATACCACAGATTAGAGTGTGGGAATGTGAGGAGGCTGTTTACTTGTCTAAAGCGGGAGTGATTTTTTTTTTTTTGTCTTTGTTTGCTTTTCCAGGATCTGTACCCAGCTTTGAAAGGTGTAAGCACAGTTTTCCACTGTGCATCACCCCCACCATCCAGTAACAACAAGGAACTCTTTTATAGAGTGAATTACATTGGCACCAAGAATGTCATTGAAACTTGCAAAGAGGCTGGAGTTCAGGTAAGGGGAAAGCTGGAGTGAGTGCTGTCGGGAGCATGTCATGGCCCTTTCTAAGTGTGCGGGAGCCAGGATTTTTCTCGTTCTCTTCCTGGGCCTAGCCAGGCTTGCTTCCTAAAGTGTTGTGAAGATCCTAGAAACTGAGTCCTATTTGCTGCTGGGCCAATTTGAGCTGCATCGCAATAGACCATTTGAGGACCCTAAGGCTTATTAGTCTTTGGTTAAAGGGCCATAAAATGTTGATATTGCTTATATTTTTTTTATTGTGGTTAAATAAATGTCATACAGTTTACCATTTTAACCATTTTTTTAAAGATTTTATTTATTTATGGCAGAGAGAGAGCAGGAGAGCACAGGCAGGGGGAGCGGGAGAGGGAGAGGGAGAAGCAGGCTCCCCGCTGAGCAGGGAGCCCGATGCGGGGCTTGATCCCAGGACCCTGGGATCATGACCTGAGCTGAAGGCAGTCGATTAACGACTGAGCCACCCAGGCGCCCCTTAACCGTTTTTTAATTTACAGTTCAGTGGCATCAAGTACATTCACGTTGCTGTGCAAACATCCCCACCGTCCATCTCCTGAACTTTCATCTTCCCGGACTGAAACTCTATCCCCATTAAGCACCAGCTCCCCACCCCCTCCTCTTCAAGCCCTTGGCACCCACCATCCTACATTCTGTTTCCATGAATCTAGAGACGTCAAAGAAGTGGACTTATATGGTATCTGTACTTTTATGTCTAACTTCTTTCACTCCGCTTCATGTCTTCTAGGTTCATCCATGTTGTAGCATGTGTCTGAATTTACTTCTTTTTTACCACTGAATAACATTTCATCCTGTGGATAGACCATATTTTGTTTAGCCATTCATCCGTCAGTGGACACTTGGGTTGTTTCTACTTTTGAAAAAGTATTGTGAATCATGCTGTTAGGAACATAGGTATATAAATATCTGCTCCAGTCTCTGCTTTCAGTTCTTTTGGGTAAATACTCAGAAATGGAATTCCTGGATCATACAGTAATCCTATGTTTAACCTTTCGAGGAACTGCCATACTATTTTCCAGACCTTGCCTCTATTTTCAGACTATTTACTTTTCACCAGTGGAAACCTGTTATAGCTCAGACCTGAGGGGATATAAATTTCCACATGTGCTTTGTTATAAATGCTGGTTCTCAGGATCACCCTTATGGGGCACCCGGCATCATCAGCTGGCCCGGCAAGAACAAGTGGGGAAGGAGCTCTTCAGGGCTCAGTGCCCTAGAAAGGATGGATCATGGTCAAAACCACCCCTTATGCTTTGCAAATGACAAGACACTTTGCCCTGCAGTTGTCACCTGATTTGCTCCTCGATAGGTAACCAGGAACTACTAATGTCACTTAACAGGTGAGGAAACAGATTTGGAAGGCTAAGAGATGTCTCTTTGCTAGTAAATGAAAGAGGTGGGACTCAAATCAGACACTCTGATGCCAAATCCCAGACTCCTTAGTCTATACCATGCTTGTATACCTAGAGCTCAGTGAATTTCACTGCTGCTGTTTTTTAAATGGAATAACCTAGTTATCCAGAAAAGATTCAAGAATGACATAGCACCCATATAATCATCATAGTGTTTAACATTACCTTTTAGAGTTGAAGTTCTGTGTGTATCCATTCTCCATGCCATTGCTGTCCTTCCCCACCACCCCACGGGGAACCAGTGTTCTGAATTTGGGTTTATCATTGCTATATGCTCCATGTACAGCCAATATAAGTTATCAGTTTGCATGTTAAAAACTTTATAGAAACGATATATTCAATATATCTTCCCGCAACTTGCTTTTTTTCCCCCTAACGTTATGTTTTTGAGATTTATCCATCTCGTGCTCCCTCTATCCGTCCCTCCCTCTCTCTCGAGTAAAAAAAAAAAAGAAAAGAAAATGGCTTTTCATGTTGTATTTAGGAACCATTTCATAACAGTGAAATCAAAAGATTGTTTAATGTGGGGTTTTTCCCCAAAGGTTCAAAGTGTTACTGTGCACATTTAAATCTTTAATCCACCAGGACTTTGTGTTTGTGTATGGTCTGAGGTAGCAATTGAATTTTTGTTGTTCAGTACCATTTATTCTGTGATCCATCCTTTCCCCTCTGTTCAGTGCCCCACCCAGCACATGTCAGCTCTCTCTTCCCTGCCACTGTGCTCTGCCTTCACTAAGCAAGCTGTAGGATGAATCTCAGTAACTGCTAGGACAAGTCACCCCCGAACCGTGTTCTTCAGAACCTGCTTGGCTATTCTTAGCCCTTTGCTTATCCATCTCAATCTTAGAATCAGCTTGTCGAGTTCCTGTTGGAATTGTTACTATAATTGCATCAAATTTAAAAGCAGTTTGGGAGGGCGTGGATGCCTTGCCAATACTGAGTCTGTATCCATAGACACATAATCTCTTTCTCTCTCTTTCAATACTTTTACCCTTTACTTTAAAAAGGTTTTGCACATCTTATTGTTTATCCCTATGTACCTAGTTTTTGGCTATTGAAATAATATCTTTCGTATTACATTTTTAATTGCTAATGCATAGAAACACAGTTGGTTTTTGTATATTGATTTTGTACTCACCAGTTCCACTGAACTCTAACTGTAAAATTTTCTGTATGTTCATAGTGTTTTCTATGTAGACTTTTCCAACATCTGTGAATGGTGATAGTTTTGTTTCTTCTTTTCAAAGTATTCCAGTACAATGTTGAATAAAAGTGGTAAAGCTGTGATTTGAGCTAATGGTGTTCAGTGTTGGATGTACTGCCCTTAACCAGAGGGCTGGAAGCTGGGACCCTTGTAAGAAAGCATTTCCTTTCAAATAGCATTTCTCAAGTGGGCGTGTACATGTGCTGACATGGCAGGGTTGGTCTCAGAATCACGGTGCATCTCTTTCAGAGTTCGTGGGCTATCCTTCTCCCTTGGCGAATCATTCCCATACTTAGATACCACAAATAATGGAAGTCCATTCCATCTCTCAGTAGTGATAGGAGAGAAAAAAGGTGAAATCCTCTGTTTTAGGATGTGTCTCGAATCCACGTAGCTACAGAAGATGGTGATCTTTGAATTATTTTAAGAAGGCCTGAAAAGCAAAGCATTGCAATAAATCATTTACATGGTGCCATTTGATTTTCTTTCATGTATGACCATCAGCTTGTTTAAGTAATGATTATTTCTTACTTGTATTTTTTAATCTTCCTTTCTCCTCTGCCAGAAACTCATTTTAACCAGCAGTGCCAGTGTCATCTTTGAGGGTGTCAACATCAAGAATGGAACCGAAGACCTCCCTTATGCTGTGAAACCCATTGACTATTACACGGAGACAAAAATCTTACAGGAGAGAGTATGTACCTGAGAACTGGTTGAGTGACAAGCAAGTTCCGTGAACATCTGGATGGTTTAGATTTTTAAGAAACATATTTATGCAGTTAGTGTTCTCAGGCCTGCATACCTAACTTGGGAAGTAAAATTTGTGGCTGAGATTCAATTTAAAAATAATGACAGTAGCTTAATGTGACCATACACTGCTCAGAGTATTGTACAGGAACTACCTCGTTTAAACTTCACAAGGACCCCATAAGGTGGATACTATTATCATCATCAGGTTCTAGATGAGGACAGTTGATGCACAGAGATTCAGTTTCGTCTTGAGGTCATGCAAGTAGTAGGTGGCTGAACCCACACAGTTTAGCTCCAGAGCCTGCACTCAACCTCTAGGCCATGCAAGGTTACTCAGTTGCCATAGAAATCAGAGGCAATTGATGATGATCCCAAGCACACAGGCAGAACTTGGGCTTAACACACAAGTGTTTTCATTTGAACACACCTTCCTAGTGGCACTCTTGCCCCCCTCCCTTATTTAAATTAAACGATGAAAGGATCTTGCTTTATTTTAAGGAAAAGTACTTGGTAAGGTACTGGTTTCCACTTGGCAAACCAACTTTGCCAGGAAGCACGTGGTTTTAACAGCAATCTGCGTTGAGTAACGAGCACTACGCCTTTGGACTCCAGGGCTCCAGGGACCCTGACAGCAGCTAGCTCCAGGACTAATGTCCAAGGAGAATATTACCATAAGGACATACTCACTTGAAGGCCATGGGTGCTCGTTGACCACAGACAGCTTGCCTTAGCTGGGGAAGCTGTGAGTACCTCTCCCAGGTGTTTGCAGCTTGTCACACCCACTGAGGTTGCATTTCGTAGCCAGCACATACCGAACTAGAGCTTAGGGCTGACTTGGCGTGAATTCCACTGAGCTGCCTGAGAGCCAGCTGCCTCCCATCCGTTTGCTATCACTCCAGGTCAGAAAGTTCCAGGAGAACTCCGTCTGCAAGAAGACACAAAGGCCTACCCAATCCAGGGGTGGAAGCCTGGCCTTTTGTAAGCTGGAGTCCTGTCTCCAGGTTCTGCCACCCTGCTCCTTGGCGCACAGAGAGCTTCACAGAGCTGCCACCTGCTAGGACTTAACCCAGGAAGCACTGAGGCTTTTGCTGGGCCCTGTGTACTCTCATCCAAGGCACTGAGACTCCCACCTCCTGTGCTCAGGAGGTGCAAGTGACAGCCATGGCTCAGACACAGAACATATCTGAAGACTTGACCTGTTTCTCCCAGACCCTTTACCTTCTCAGTCCCTTCTTCCTGGCCCACTTGGGTTCATCAGAGTCCCTTCCTAGGAGGTGGTACTCAGAACTGAGAACAGCTCAGGACTGGTGGAAACAAGCCCGTGGAACTTAAGGCAGGAGAGGCAGGAGACTCATGACTGACTCATTACCTGAAACCCTCAGATCTTCCCCTGGCTGCATTTGTGCAGTTCAGTCCTGGAACCCAAACCCAGGCCTTTCTCTTTGATCATATTGTTGTTGTAAGTAGGCTCCGTGCCCAGTGTGGGGCTTGAACTCACAACCTTGAGATCGAGAGTCACGTGCTCCACCGACTGAGCCAGCCAGGGGCCCCTGATCATACTGGTTTTGACCCAGCTGTATCTCCTGTGTTTTCAAATTTGGGTGGTATGGGTGGATAGGATAGAGAAGTAGCCCCAAATTATACCAGAGCAGAAGTCAGCCTCTGTGTCCCCCGTAAGTGGTGCAGCTGACATGCCCCTTCTGCTCTTTTACAGGCAGTCCTGGGTGCCAATGATCCTGAGGGGAATTTCTTAACCATGGCCATTCGCCCTCATGGCATTTTCGGCCCAAGGGACCCCCAGTTGGTCCCCATCCTCATCGAGGCAGCCAGGAAAGGCAAGATGAAGTTCGTGATTGGGTAAGTTGGCCCATAGTTGGTCTTCTCCCTGACCCCTCACAAGGATCAGTCTTGCTTGGTTAGCTCTTTTATAATGCCGCCTTCTCTGCTGCCCTCTGTGTTGGTTTCCTGGGGCTGCCCCAACAAATGACCACAAACCGAGGGGCTTAAAACAACAGAGATTAATTCTTTCTCAGTTCTGGAGGCGAGAAGTCTGGAATCAAGGTGTTGGCAGCGGGGGGACCTTCTGGAAACTGAGGGAGAATCTGTTCCAGGCCTTTCTCCCAGCTTCTGGTGGTGGCCAGCAGTCTTTGGTGTTCCTTAGCTTGTAGACAAGTCACTCTAATCTCTGCCTCCACCCTCACGTGAGCGTCTTTTCTGTGTATCTACATCCAAATTTCCCTCTAATAAAGATATCAGCCATTGGATTTAGGGCCTACTCTACCCCAGTATGTCCTCATCTTAGCTTGATTACATCTTCAAAGACCCTATTTCCAAATGAGGTTACATCCAAAAGTTCCAGGGAGACATGAATTTGGGTAGGACCCTGTTCAACTTAGTATACCATCATGTAGCCTGGGAAAATATTTGTGTCCCTTTTTGAAAATTGAGGAAACAGGCTTGGGGAGGCGGGAGACTGGCACAGGGTCAAGGGCCAGGCCTTGGATCTAGGAAGGCTGGTAGAGGTGTTCACATTCCTTCTCAAGGAAAATGCAGGTGGCGAGGCCTTTGTGGGTGATGACAGCACGTGGCTGTTTCCCCAGTACACCTTTGCTTCCTTCCTTTTTTTTTTCCATTGCCACCTTGCCTCCCTGCTGCCCTGTCTTCTTGCTTTGAGGGATTAGAAAGAGATGGTAGAAAGGTGTAGAGGCCAAAGCAAGCCCTTAGCCCTGAGTGTGGGCCATGCCAGGATGGGGCAGGCAGGGCACTGGGCTTTCAGACTCCTTGCTCGGCCCTTACATGTTCCACTGCCTCTGAGGGCCCCAGGTATCCTGGCCCCTTAGCATCTTTAACAGTGGAACCATGCCCCGTACGCCCACAGAAACGGGGAGAACTTGGTGGACTTCACCTTTGTGGAGAACGTGGTGCACGGACACATCCTGGCTGCAGAGCACCTCTCCCAAGACACGGCCGTGAGTGGGAAGGTAAGGCACCCCCTCCTCCTGCCCCATGCACGTTTGCCCGTCTTCGGGCTGCATGTCCCTGTGCTTGGACTCATTGGCAAATTGCCTTCATGATCCTGGGTCCTGGCTGATCTGCTTTAGGATCCCATTGGTCCGAGGTTGATCCCCTGTGGACGTGACTGCTCCCAGCAGGGTCCCATGTACATTCAGTGGGGTGCTTGGTACTCATCTTCCCTCCCAGTCATTCTGGAAGTCCCTTCATTTCTCTCCCATTGCCCACCCTTGCTCATGCCTCTCACCCCTCCGGAGGGGTGGATGTATCTCAGTCTCTTGGCATCTGGCACCTGGTGGGCAGGATGGACATGTCAGGGAGGTGAGCTCTCATGCAGAGAGGGGAGAGCACATTAGGGCCCCCTCACCCTCTCCCATTCACAGGGCCCCCCTCTTCCTTGTTTCTCACTACTCCCTTTGGAACCCCCTCTTTGGATCTCATTTTTCTCCTGGACCTCTGCTGTTTTCCCACTCCTGTAACACTTAGGGTGGTGGAGGTTGGGTGGGTGTATGGCTTTTGTTTTAGACCAAATACAGCACATTTGAGAAAAGGCATGTGACCTGTTGTTGCATATGAAGATAAGGAGTTTTACCATGATTAACATGATTATTAAATTAACAGACATACTTTCCTGACTGTAATCTAAGCTTCAGTTAAAAATCCTGGCCCATAGATAAAACTTACCTTTCCTTTAGCCTGCCCAAATCAAAAAAGCTCCAAATCAAAAAAGCATCTCTGCCACTGGCTGACGTTTGCAGACTGGAGATCTTGGGTGGGCAGGCAGGCAGAGGCCACTGGCTTCCCAAAATATTGGTCCCAGGCTGAGCCAGCAGCTTATGCCTGAGCTCCAAGTTCCAAGTGTGGCCGGCCAGCTGGGGAGCATTTTCTTTCTTTTTTTTTTTTTTCTTTCTTTTTTTATTCTTATGTTAATCCCCATACATTACATCATTAGTTTTAGATGAAGTGTTCCATGATTCATTGTTTGTGCACAACACCCAGTGCTCCATGTAGAATGTGCCCTCCTCAATACCCACCACCAGGCTAACCCATCCTCCCACCCCCCTCCCCTCTAGAACCCTGTTTGTTTTTCAGAGTCCATCGTCTCTCATGGTTCGTCTCCCCCTCTGATTTCCTCCCCTTCATTCTTCCCCTCCCGCTACCTTCTTCTTCTTCTTTTTTTTTTTCTTAACATATATTGCATTATTTGTTTCAGAGGTACAGATCTGAGATTCAACAGTCTTGCACAATTCACAGTGCTTACCAGAGCACATACCCTGCTGGGGAGCATTTTCTAACTTCTTGTTCTCTCTCCAGGCATTTCACATCACCAATGACGAACCCATCCCTTTCTGGACATTCCTGTCCCGCATCCTGACAGGCCTCAACTATGAGGCCCCCAAGTACCACATCCCCTACTGGGTGGCCTACTACCTGGCCCTCCTGCTGTCCCTCCTGGTGCTGGTGGTCAGTCCTGTCATCCAGCTCCAACCCACTTTCACACCGATGCGTGTCGCACTGGCTGGCACGTTCCACTATTACAGCTGTGAGAGAGCCCAAAAGGTCCTGGGCTACCGGCCACTGGTCACCATGGATGACGCTATAGAAAGGACTGTGCGGAGTTTTTATTACCTGCGGAAGGTCAAGTGATGCAGCCCAAAGACTGGGCCGTCGCAGTGCCTTCCCCGGCTACTAACTCTCCCCTGTGGACCAACAAACTAACCTCCTTCAAGTGACTTTCTTAGCTTAGGTCTCCTCCTGCCAGTTAGATGAGAGCACACCCAGCTGTTCCATGACCTCAAGGGTGGAGGAAACCGGAGGCATTTCTCCCATTTGTCGGATTGAATTTGAATTTCTTAAAGCAGGCAGCTTCATATTCTACTGTTTTGTGTTCTCCTCTCCCTCTCCCCTACCCCCCCCCCACTCCCACCCCTCCTCTCTCCTGGGTTACTTATCATTCCAGCATCCTTCTACATAATCAAGGAAGCTGTAGGGAAAAAAACAATCCATTTGGTGAAACTTCAAATAGATGCAGAATTTAAAGCAAAAACTTTTTAAAAGCTTAAATAATTGTTACCCCTCCCCCCATCAGTCTCCAGACTAATCGAAATGTAATGTTAAAGACTTCTGTTTTTTCATAAAACATTCTTTCATGGACATGTCTCTCTCTCTCTCTCTTTTTTTTAAAGAGTTTATCCATTTATTGGCCAGAGAACACGTGCATGTGAGAGAGAGAGAGTACAAGCAGGGAGAGCGGCAGACAGAGGGAGAAGCAGGCTTCCCGCCCAGCAGGGAGCCCAATGTGGGGATTGATCCCAGGACCCGGGATCATGACCTGAGCTGAAGGCAGCCGCTTCACCGACTGAGCCACCCAGGCGTCCTGACGTGTCTCTCTTTATCAGCGGAGCCCCATTGTCCTTTTTAGTTACAAGGTGGTAGCGTGCCCCAGTGGCCTGCCATTTCAGCTGTGTAGCTCTTCTAACATGGGACATGGAGCTGGTTGACAGTAAGCCATTGAAAAGGTCAGAGAGAAGAGCATTCTCTATCTGCTTGGAGTTTGGGCAGAAACTCCATGAGATGATGTAGAAAGGACTGTTTCTCTGCAGCTCACACTCAGAACCCTTCAGGCCAGTCTCCAAAAGGCAAAGCACATAGGATTCAGTGTTCTCTATTTTCTGGTGATGTTCTGCTTACAGAACCTGATTTCTTCCCAGACTAATCGAAATGTAATGTTAAAGACTTCTGTTTTCTTCTCTGCCTTTGTCCAGGGGTGGAGAGGCAGCCGGGACACTGGAATAAAGTGAAGATATTGTACATGCCATGAGGTTTGTGTGATAGGAACATCACACCCACCTGAGGGGAGACTGCTATGTTGATGGGGCAAGGGAGCACAAGTAGAAGTAAGACAGGGTCTTTGCCCTTAAGGCACTTAGAATAGAGGAGCTCAAGATATGTTCACAAGCCCCTGTAATACCAGACAAAAAATAATGCACCTGAGACAAGGTGGTGTAAGTTCAAGGAGGGGAGACATGGCTTCCAGGCAAGACCATCAAAGAGACTTCCAACGAGGAGGTGACAGCACTGAATTGGACTTGAAGAATGAATAGTCAGTAGGTACAGGCCTGTAGGTGGCACTTCAGGCTGAAAGGTCAGGTTCAGAGTCAGTGGCTTTTTATAATCTCATTAACAGTGTGTTGTCTTTCTTGGATTCAGTAAGTACAGGAGTGACCAGCATGGCTTAGGGTTGGGGGCGTGGAGTAGTGGGAAGTTGGGTTGGCTGAAGAGATAAGCAGGGCTGAGGATGCCAAGCCAAGAGAGCTAAACTGTCTCCTATAGGCATGGGAAACCATTGACAGTTTACGCAGTGGAGGACAAAAATCAAGAAATTTATGTCGCCACCCTGTGTGGAGCCTGGGAGATCAGTTAGGAAGTGGCAAAGGTCTGGGCAATGATGCAGCCATGGAAATACAAATGAAGCTTTAGCTGAAGCACCTGGAAAGAACTCCGAGCTCCCTGCTTGATTTCCTATGAGGAGTGGGAGGGAGGAGTAGGCCGGGGCATAGGACTGATAGACTCTGCTTTCAGAGCTGCTACGAGGAGACTCATGCCTAAAAGAGTGAAGCTGACAGACCAAAGTGCCCTCAGCTTTGTCCTTTCAGCTCTCTTGGGAAAATGCTAGCAGCTGCCTCTACAAAAGATGTCCCTCATCGAACTGCACAGACTGTCCAATCTATTCGTATCTTCTACTTCCTAAGGGAACCTCTTGTCTGCTCACTTGTTTTATTCACCCATTCTTTCTACATGTTTGTTGGGCACTGCCTGGGCTTCAGTGGTCAATAAAACAGGCACAGCCTGGAGCTGATATTACAGCTGGAAACACCCTCCCTACCCCAGACAGATTTTATGGCTGCTCCTTGCTCTGTCCTGCATTCCTGACTCAGACCTATGTCACCCCCATCTGATACTGACCTAGTGCAGCACCTGGCCCAGGTGTACTGGAACAGCCAAGCTGACATGTCTGCCTCCCCTGATCCAGTCTGTATGTATCTCCAGGTTGTCCTTCCTAAAAGAGACCTAGATCTGTCTCTCCTCTGTCAAAAACACTTCAGTGGGTCCCAACTTTCTCTTGAACACCTTCTGTGGCCAGTTTATCACAACCTGTTCTCAGCCCACCCTTCCAGCTTCTTCTACTGGACTTCGCACTTGTGCGCCAGCCATACTGCTCATGACCTGTCAGACATCCCCTTACTCAGGTTGCCCTGGCTGCCTGCCATGCCCTCTCCTTGTTATGTCCCCTAATACAGAATAGCCAGATCCCTTTCCCCACAAAAGTCTACTCTGATCTTCCCAATTGGAGATCATCTGTTTGTTCTGGGCTCCCAGGCTGTAGCTCTCAGTCTTTGCTCTATTTAGTGTGTTCCCTCGGTGTACTTTCTCCCACCCCCACCAAGCCAGGAGCTCCTTGATGGCAGAGCCAACCAGTGTCCCCACAGAGTGGGTGCTCAAGAAATGTGGGTAACCACGTGCCTGGCTTGCAATCCTAGGGTAACAGCAGCAACAAAAGGAAAGAGCCAGTGGGACTGGTTGGAGCAGAGGTTCCTGGCATGGCACTAGTGTGTGGAATTGGGAGGTCTGTGAACCCCAGGAATTGGACACAGCCTTGGGGGCATCTGAGTGTGTCTTGTCGGGAGAAGGCACAGAGCTGGGATTAGCTTTTCAAAGATGACTGCAGCCCGATACAAAATTCAAGCCAGTGGGGTGGGCACCAGCAGCTGTAGGGAAGCCTGCTTTTGGGTAAGGGTCCAAGAGAGACAAGCTGAGGGTGAAGAGGCCAGAGTAGGGATCCCAGGCTTCATTAGCATCTTCATCTGCATGTGGTCATGGACCACAGGGTGGCTGTGGCCAGCTGTTCTGTCTGTGGGTCCTTGTCTTCGCTCCCTCCACCTAACCCCAGTAGGCTAGCCTGTAAGTTCCTCTGGCTCCTCAGCTGCATTCTCTGCACATCTCACCTCGAGGTATCTAGTCCTGCTGGGCCTGCAGCCTCCTTTTCTTTCAAACGTCATCTCCAACATCATTCACTCCTCACAGCTTCCTCCCCATGGCCTCTGTCTTCTGGCTTCCTACAGAGCCCACCCTGCATTGCCGTCAGTCATTGGCTTAGCTGTCCAGATCTCCAACAAGCCACTACATTCCTCAAGGGCCAGGGGCTTTTGATTTGTTTCTCTGCCCAGTAAGTGTGACCAGACTGAAAGGGCATTAAGAGGACAAAGCTACTAACACCCACATTGACCAACTGGGGGAACCCCAGAGAGAAGAAGTCATGGCCAAGGGCCCTCAGGCAATTAGCAGAGCCAGGGCTAAACCACAAGCTCCTGATCCCCAAGCCAGTGCATCCCACATTACTCATCTAGATTCATGCAGCTAACACAGCAAAGGTGCTCATCTGGGAAGGGACACAGGCTCTAATCTGAGACTTTGCAACATGAAGGGCTGAAAGGGCACAGAGAAGAGTTAGGAATGGAGACAAAAAAGAGGCATGTGGAGGGTGCCTGGGTGACTCAGATGGTTAAGCGTCTGCCTTCAGCTCAGGTCATGATCCTGGGGTCCTGGGATCGAGTCCCGCATCGGGCTCCCTGCTCAGTGGGAAGCCTGCTTCTCCCTCTGCCTCTGCCTCTGCCTCTCTCTCTCTCTCTCTCTCTCTGACTCTCATGAATAAATAAATAAAACATTAAAAAAAAAGAGGCATGTTGAGAGACACTAGAACCCTTCCATCAGCAGCATGCACCTCTTTCCCCCAGCACTGCCTAGTTGTCAATTATGGAAGACTCCAAATGATAGTGGACCCAAATTAGAGCCTTCCCTTTCTCAGGTCTGTCTTTCACCCACTCAGCCCCCAGGAGGTGTGTTCACATTAGCTCCTTCAGCCCAGAAAACTTTCTTGAGTGAGCTGGGTAGGAGAGAAAGGGGGGAAGAGGGTGAAGGCCTCTTAGCCTTTCCCTGTACTGCAACTCTTACGAGACACCTTCTCTAGTAAGTACTGAGACACACACACCATTGGCTTTATTCTCTGGGGGGACCATCAATTCAGAAAATATTAACTGAGCACCTGCTAAGTCCAAAGGGATGCAGAAGTGACCAAGATAGAGCACTTACCCTCAGAGAGTCCCACAGAGAAAGTAATAACCCAAGTGCTCTTTGCCTTAAGAGCAAAGGTCCACAGACTGAACTTGGGGTCAAATCCTATTTGCCTGTGCTTTGGTCAATAAAATGTTATTGGCATATAGCCACACCCATTGGTTTACATATTGTCTATGGCTACATCCATGCTACAATGGCAGAGTTGACCAGTTATGAACAGAGATCTTGTAACCCACAAAGCCTAAAATAGTTAGTACCTTCCCCCTTACAGGAAGAGCTTGCCAATGTCTGCTTAAGAGTGACTGAGGGCGCCTGGGTGGCTCAGTCGTTAAGCGTCTGCCTTCGGCTCAGGTCATGGTCCCAGGGTCCTGGGATCAAGCTCCGCATCAGGCTCCCTGCTCCGCAGGAAGCCTCCTTCTCCCTCTCCCACTCCCCCTGCTTGTGTTCCCTCTCTCGGTGTGTCTCTCTCTGTCAAATAAATAAATAAAATCTTTTTAAAAAAAACTTGAAAAAAAGAGTGACTGATAGGCCAACAGGCACATGAAAAGATGCTCAACATCGCTCATCATCAGAGAAATAGACATCAAAACCATAATAATATAGCACCTCACACCCATGAGGATGGCTACTTTCAAAAAATAAATGAATAAATAAAACAGGGTGAGTCCAATTTGGCCAGCTTGAGAAGATAAGGAATGGCATTCCAGCTTCCAGGCCAAGGGAACCAACATGGTCTGTGACTGGAAATGGTAGGAAATGAGGTTGCAGGGGTCAGGGAGCTGGGACTTGATTGCCCTCTGCCCTCTGAAGAGTGACATGGTGGCATTTGTGTTTGGATGGTGGAAAGAGTTCAAGGAGAAGGACCAGAGGCAAGCACCACTATAAAACCATGGCTTGTGGCCCCTTCCTCCATCTTCAGAGTGCATCACTCCAATCTCCACTTCCATCAACACATCTCCTCCTCCAGAAGTGGACATTTTGGGGAGCAATTACTCAGTCTACTACAGTGGCTAATAAGGTACATGAGGTCTAGAAAAGCACTGCTCTGGGCTTTTCAGCAGGGCAGGAGTTTCCTGGTCTTCTAAGGTTTGCCTAGCAAAACCAGTGAAGTATGAGGTTCTATCCGAACCCAAGTACAGGGTAGTGAGATGACTAGCTAAGGCTTGGCCAGATACAGTTCTGTCTGAAGTTTGCATGGAAGGTATTAGGGCCTGGGTATACGGCAGGCCTCCAGCTAGAAGGGGGCCAGAGGACAGGCAAGTCCCAACAGGCTCAACAGTCATGAATCTAGGGAGGGGCATCCCCTCACCAAGCTGGCAGGGAGAGGCAGGCCCCCGGGTAAAGGGCCAATGCTCCAACCTATCTCTGACAGGCCCAGGGCTTCAAGCAAACTGCTGGATCCCTGCAGCCCTGTCTCCCAAATACTATTCAGATAATTCACTGGGCTAGTTTGGCACCAACTGATGGTGCTGGCTTAGAAGGTGCTGAGAAATGTGGGTGGATCTGCAGGGCGGGTTTAAAAAGTCCTGAGAATCCAGTGGCCCAGGTGAGCAAGTGTTAGGTCCCAGCACTGCCTCCAGGCCTGGGACGGTCTCATTTCCTGGTAGGAGAGGAAGTAGGATTTAGACATGCCTCTCTGTGCTGTATTTGGGGCTGGGATTAGTGTTTCGAGAAGTGAAGCTCAGAAACTAAGCTAAGGCCACACAAAGACCATCTAGCCATAGCCAATCACAGGGGCTCCCAACGTGGGCCCAGGTGGTGCTGAGACCAAGCCTGCAGAGATTAGACTCTGCAAGATGGGTGCAAGGCCCCAAGCATACCATGCTACTGCAGAACCAAGGGTCCTGAGGTCCTTATCCTGTTAACGGTTGATTGTCTGATTGCTCTCTTCTCCGAAGTCAGTTCTGGCCAGACCACTGAATGCTGAGAAGCTGCTTTCAGTGTGGAGGGGCCCAAGATAACCTTTGACACCTACGGCCCCTCTGGGCCAGGGGCTTCACAGGCAGTCTGCTCAGGAGCTTTAAAGGGACTCCCGTGGGGCTGAGAAGCCCATTGCTAATGGCAGCGCGTGAGGGCCTCTCCTTGGAATGCCTCCTGCCCTCTTTGCCTGGCTGTCTACTACAAGTCTCTACTGGGTGGGCAGCCAAGGCCAGGTGAAGCTCCTGCTGGTGCCCGCCCGGGGCTTCTTCCACTGATGACACTAGCACAAAGTTCCTGGTTCTTGTACCTGCTTCCCTCCACACTAGGGAGTCCTCCAAGGCAATGGCACCGTGGAGCTGACCTGTCCCCACCCCAGCAGGAGTGCTCCACAGAGCCGGAGAGAACCCTGCAACAATGAGAAAACAGTAATGACCCATTTTCAAATCAGGTCACATTCACAGGCACTGGGAATTAGGACATCAGCATATCTTTTGAGGGGACGTAATGCAACCCATAACAGTGCCCATCTGATCTCTAGTGGCCAATGAGTGCTTCATGCCTGTGAGTTTCCCCCTAATCTTTTTCCTCAGCACAGGAACCTAGGGGTGACTGAGGGAGCCAAAAGCTTCCAGAAGGAGCTGGACAGAAGATTCTAGGTGTGCTACTATTCTCAAAATTGAATTTTATCACTTACATTAATATGGGGTCATTCAGGTGGGCCCTAAAGCAATATGATGGTGCCCTTATGAGAAGAGGAAATAGGGACGCAGACACAGGGAAGACAGCTATGTGGACTACAGAGGCCGAGACTGGAGTGATGTGACCATGAGCCAAGGAATGAATGCCTGGGGCAACGCTAGAGGCTGGAAGCTGGAAGAGGCAGGAAGGATCACCCCCTGGAGGGAGCACGGCCCTGCCAGCCCCTTGATTTCAGACTCCTGGCCTCCAAGAGCCATGAGAGGATAAACGTCTGTTGTCTTAGTCCCTCCACCACCACCACTGTATGGCACTTGATCGTGGCAGCCCCGGACACTCCTACAGACGCTGGCACAAATGTCTCCGAGTTCCTCACAGCAAGACAGAAGCAGAAGCCTTGCCCATCTTCCCATTCCAGTGTCAGTGCTCCTTGTGCTCCTGAGCTTGCCGTTCTCACCCCAATCGTGAAGAAACAGTACTCCTCAGCTTCAGAGCGCTTTGGACATACTAATTAAGTCTCAGTTAATTGGATGAAATAATGTGAAGCGCTAGTGACATCATTTCCATTCT